ATATATACAAAAAGAATAAAAAAGGTAAAGTATTTTTTTAAAAAAAGAAAAATAATAATAAGAGCAAAGAAACTAAAAATATAATGAAAATAAATAAATAGTATAAATAAAATAATAAAAAATATATATAAAAAATATAAAAATGTATGTATAATATAATAAAATACTAAATAGTAATAATAATAATAAATAAATGAAAACTAAATATACATATAATATTAACTAAAAAATAGTAATCATAGAAATATAAAATAAAATAAAGTAAGAATATATATATATAACGTTAAGAAAATATAGTAAAAAACATAGCAAATAAGTAAACATAGATAAAAAAATAATAATATATATATATATATATTAAGAAAATAATATAATATAACGCAAATAAAAATAAAAAAATTATAACAAATAAATAAATAAAATATAATTAAATATATACATATAAATAATAAGGGTTAAATTAAAATAAAAAATGAATTAGGGATCAAAATTAAAAGCCATCGAAGAAAAAAACGACAAAACACGCGGATCCACACGACCCGTTTATAAAAATCCGAATAGTTTTTCAAAAACACAAGCCTCGGGGACTAGATCTACAAAAATAAATCTCGAAAACGCCCCCGTTCATCGGCCAAAAACACTTCTCTCAATTTTCTTTCGAAATCAAAACACAGCAAGGGTAAGGAAAAATAACATGCGAAGGTATGAACTTTACCTTTCAAAATATAAATGCTTCGAAAAATGGCTACGAGTTGCTTGGAATTTTTTGCTTGGTATTTCGTATATCCTCTTCCGAATCTGTTACAATAGTGAGTTACAATGACTATTTATAATGCTTGTGGATCCTATCTTTAGGAGTTTAAATAATAGTAGAACTCTATCCTATTTTTAGGAGTTTGAATCCTAGCAAAATTCTATTCTATTTTTAGGAGTTTGAATCCTAGTAGGATGAAAAGGTGTGTTGACAACAATGTAACCGGTTTAAATTTACCGATTTTATGAGAAAATAGGTCTAAATAATGTATCGACACTTTATTTATTTGTGTCAATACTTTTTATCCATAATGAATTCCCAAATTATGTGCACGCATAAAGTGTCGATACATTTATAAAAAGTGTCGACCCCAAATACATCGAGACCGAAAATTATAATGTAATAGGTCACTTTACAATGTAACCAGTTTAAATTTACCGGTTTTATGAAAAAATATATCTAAATAATAATCGACACTTTATTTATTTGTGTCGATACTTTTTATCCATAATGAATTCCCAAACTATGTGCACGCATAAAGTGTCGATACATTTATAAAAGTGTCGACCCTAAATACATCGAGACCGAAAATTATAATGTAATAGGTCACTTTACAATGTAACCGGTTTAAATTTACCGGTTTTATGAGAAAACTGTCAACATAATGTATCGATACATTTTAAATTCGTGTCGACACTTTTTAAAATTACGCGTATTTTTTCCCTTCATTATTTTCCAGAATATTTTCCAAACCAAGTGTACGACAAAGTGTCAATACATTTATAATAAGTGTCGATACTAAAAACATTGAGACCGATAATTATAATGTAATAGGTAAATTTACATTGTAACCGGTAGAAATATACCGGGTTAATAAGAGAATAGGTGTACGCATAAAGTGTCGATACATTATAAAAAGTATCGATCTCAAAACATCGAAATCGATAATTATTATGTAACAGGTTACAATGTAACCGGTAAAAATATACCGGTTAATTAGCAAATATGTCTACATTATGTATCGACACTCTTTAAATATGTGTCGATACTTTTTTTCCAAAATGAAAGCACAAATAGGTGCACGCATAAAGTGTCGATACATTTTAAATTGTATCGATCCGAAAAACATCGAAATCGATAATTATAATGTAATAGGTCAATTTACAATCTAACCGGTTGAAATTTGCCGGTTTTATGAGAAAATAGGTCAATATAAGCGTTACCTATTACATTATATAAGCTATCTAATATGTTATTGTACTTGATAATATTTCCGGTTAAATGTCTATTTTATTATATAACACTACCTATTACATTATATAAGCGTTACCTAAAATGTTATAATATTTCCGTTTAAATGATATATAAATACCGCTGCTTGTCTTCCCGCGAGAAAACCCAGGATGTTTTCTTCGGATTGCTGCAATGGGAGTTTGGGTTCAGGAGATTTATTGGGGTTTCGGAATATTTTTCTTTATTTGTCAAGGTTTTCATTTTCAAAGTATTTGAACACCGTCTTAAACAAATATTTTTATAAGTTTAGTTTAAGCAAAACTATCATTTAACACCGGGGTTGAAAGTTTCAATCAACATAAATGGTAAATGTGTATCTTAATTTATAGGTAAGCCGTTTTAATTTAATTTATATATATTATTCTTGTTGAAATATTTTGTAAGTGTAAATTTTCGTCTATTGAAATATTAAATAATAAAATAAATATTTAAATTATATTCATTTTTGTTTTAGGTATTTAAACTTTTTAAAGTAATATTTTATCTTATAATCATTTAAAGATCTGATTAAAAAATAGACATTTAAAATAAAAAAAGAGATATAATAAAAATATTTATTTCAAAATAACATAATATATATATTTAAATATATGAGTGTTATGATGATTGGATACCCACAATCTTTTATAGTTTTAAAGACGAGTAGCTGAGGTAATCATCTAGGATCACAAAATACCTAGAATAAATTTACGATCCCCCAAACACATTCTTAATGTACTTATGATCCTATTTCTATTCAAAAAATAAATATATATATATATATATATACAAAGTAAAAATAACTACTTAACCAATCGATTAAATATATTTTCTCAAAAGAAAAGAAATACTCTAAAGTATATAATATAATATATTGATGATTACTTTTTTGTCTACCAAGATCGTTTTCAACCTATTTTATTAATAAAAATACTAATTTTATGTTGAGACGCTAGTTGACTAATATAAGGATGGAGTTTTCTTAACAGCCCTACCCTTATCACCATTTATGCTTACAATTTTTCTTCTTCCCTTTATCAATTGCTTGAAAACAAACCATTTATACCTATAATTATAAAAAATCATGGTTTAGCTATTAGGATTTAAAGGTGAATATTGGGTTTGAGTATGTGTGTTGAATATAAATAAATTAACTTACCCTTATTCCCATATGTAATGGGGTAAGGGGAGGTAGGATAGTAGGCTGCCAAAGTTGAGAGCACCTTCCGTGAGAGACCTCCGAATTATGAATTGCTCATCTTGGGATCGAATCCCACGATCACAAGATTAAGAGCCTTGTGCTCTACCAACTGAGCTGGACGGACAATTCGTGTGTTGAATATAGACCTTTTATTGATAAAATAAAATATTATTTTTTTTTAGAGAATTTAGGTTTAGTTATCGGTAGGACGGTAAATGATTTATCAAGCCATATATTAAAAGCGAGATATAATTGGTCCGAGCTATTGACTCCCTTTGACATCGTGGATGGGCAACTAAAGTCATTTAGATACCTCGATAAATCAATAAAGTAGCTGATCGCTTGGCGAAACTTGGCCCCCAACAGCTTCCTGATCTCACTGTTTATGATTAACCTCCCGAGCCGATCATCTCTCTCCTATCTTTCGAGGTTGCTTCTCTCTCTAATACTCCCATGGAGTCTATCTAGCTAGTCTATGTCCCTTTCTATTAGGAAAATAAAAAGCGAGATATAATTGGTAATTGTGTGAATTGGGGCGGTCGTAGTCGTAGATGAGTGCCGCTCTCTATTTCTAGAGTGTCGATGAATGGGGAAGACATTATTGTTTCAAACTTGATAATAATTAGACATATTGAATGGAAGATATATAGATAGACGCATAAACAAGGGCCGGTGCGATGTGGGATCTCCTGCGTTTGCACTTTGGCACTGTGGACTGAACCCACCTTCAACATCTTCAAACTTTTTTTTTGGAGGGTAAATTAAATTTAGCAAAGAATATGCTCGCCGCAGGGAAAGCTATACAATCTGGAGCATATGTTACTGTATGTATGGCCCAACTGGTTTGCAAAAGAAAACAAAATATTCCACTTTAATTTTGTGTAGATGATGATATCCAACCCTGATTGCATGGTGGGTATATGGGTTTATCGGCAATTGAACTGCCGTTAAAACTTGGTGTGTGGAGACTACCTAAGCGCTAAGCCACTCCATTTATGCTTCATTCATCATATATTTCAGAATACTGTTGGTCATTTTTCTTAAAGTTCTCATTTATGATGATTTGTTCGCCGGTTGTATTTGGAATTGCATTCAGTGCTAAGTAAAGATGATGATTCTCATTAATTCTTATATAATTTTTTGAGTATAAACGAGAGACGATATGTGATCTTAATGAAACTAGTTTATCTTAATTCATTTGTCTTAATTTCTTATGAAAATAGAGTTCATCGATATCAGTTAACAATTAAATTTTAATTGATTACAAATCACCGTTGGTCTCGTGAACAGGTTGGTTGAGTCAGATGCAATTTTAACTTCCTAGAAAACCCCATGAAAGCATGGGTTTCATACATGTTAACGACCATCCTAACAGCAATCAAAAGAGAGGCCACAAGCAAGCTCCTCGGCCCTATTAATTTCAGGTGACAGATTTAAATAAAGTTCTGCATAAAGAAAAATGAAATATATATGTAACAGGTATAAAAATCTCTGTAATTCGAGCTTACAAACTAATGATTATTAATCCATTTCTGCCTCCGATACAAAGCCTACATAGAGGCAAATCAATAAATATCAAACCATTCCTTTAATTTTATCCAAAACCATATGCAAATTCCTTTATCTACCTGTTTTACAATATCTCTAGTAGTCTATACACTGCTAACTAGATCATTCAAAATGACGCTGCACTTGCAGAAAAAAAAGAAACATACTATCTGAAGTTTTGAGTTATCATCGCTTGTTGTGTAATGGGTTTGACCCTGTGGGAACCTTTCGCTTCTCCTCGAATTGGCCTGAAAAAGCTGAACCACTCCACCCTGGATGAAAAAACTGTTGCCCGGGTTGTCTGGTTCCTTTGTCTGATACGAGGATGTTCCTCCGGATAGCTTGGATCCTGGGAGTTAAGAGGAGGAGAATAACAACAAGAGAGCAAAGTTTAAAGCGATTCATCTTTTGTTTAAGAAATGGAAAGGCAGTCATAGCTTAAAGCTAGTTTCTTATTATATATATATACGGGGAGGCCTTCGACCGTTTCTTTAAGTATGTGCTTTCAGATTCTTCAAGTTTTAGGTTCTGTTTGACCCCATTTTGCCTTATGATCTTACATTCTTATATTCTGGTAGGCCATAGCCTCTCTGCCGTTGGATCAATGTGTGAACTTGACTATTTTAAAATTTATATATATAAAATTTGATATGACATATATAATACGACATAGGGTAAATTATGTACTTAGTATATAAACTATCAGTTTTGATTCGTTTTAGTATTTGAACTTTTAATGTTTTCAAAACCATGCATAACGTTTAGTTTTTGTTTCATTTTAGTATCCCGTCATTAAAAACTTCACACGTTTAATACTTAAACTATCACTTTTGGCCCGTTTTAGTACCTAAACTTTCATTTTTTTAAAAATTTAATTAACGTAAAATTTTGAACTGGTACTAAAATGAAATAAAAAGTAAATTTTAGGTATGATTTTAAAAAAATTTAAAATTTAGGTACTAAAATAGACTAAACTAATAATTTATGTATTAAACTCATAAATTACCCTACAAAATAAATAGAATTTAGGTTAAACTATAAGGTTTGTATCTAAACTATAATTTTTATTCTGTTTTATTATCTAAATTTTATCTTTTTGAAAATTATATATAACATTTAATTTAGATTTCAATTTAGTATCCTGCCGTTAGAAACATAATGACATCGATGACATGGAATTTATATTACAAGATGCATGGAATATCAAAAAAGGGAAATTAATTCCATATCACATTTTTAAAAACGGATACCAAATTAAAATCTAAAATAAATATTAAATATAGTTTTAAGAAAAATAAATTTATGGTATTAAAACAAAATAAAATTAGTAATTTTCCTTAAATCTATTAGGTCAGACACATGTGATCAGTGTCCTTGTAATGACGGTTGGGGGTAAAGTCAGCATTTAATATGGGACAAGGACACCAGAAATACACGCAAAATACTATGTGAAAACTTGGAAGGGAAGAGAAGCGCTCGCCGTTGGATTTTTTTTTTTTTTTATGATTTGGAAAGACCGAATTCCCTATACATTACCCTTGCATGGAAAAGGGCATTTTGGTTATAATGAAGTCGGAATCCTTACACCAACGAACTGGATTATGGTTTTAAAAATCCATAGAGTTGTTGACCATTAATTAGAGCCGCGAGGTCGCATTGCCACATTAATCAAATTCAGATCATCAACACATGTGGACGCGTATGAAAATGGTCGGCTGTGGATATTGGAATTTCAGTCTTCCTACTAGATCGCTCACAAGCTATTGATACCATAGTTATAAAAAATTTGATGGATTAAATCGTTGACCAAAGTAAATGGGTAAAGGTGTTATAGTCGGTTCATTTTTTTAATTTAGATGTAAAATTCTAGTAGCAGATCACACAGATGTTGGTTGATGTCAAAATATTTTCTCTATAAGAAAAAGGATGAATGAAGGTAAGGTGATTTAATCCATTCTTTTTGATCTTGGTCGAAAATTTTTATAATAACTCTTAGAATCTGTGTTAATCATAAGGGTCATTGTGACTACCCATAAATTAACAGAATAAGTGAATATGATCAATTAAAATATATTTAATTTTGATAAATTATGTGGGCCATTAAGAGTTCATACCAGATGATGTTTCTCAAAGGCCATTGAGTATTTGAGATTCTTTATTTTATGGAGATACTCTCTTGAAATTTTGGTTTTGGAAGCTTTGAGACACATAGACGATATGTGGAGGACCTTTGACGGAAGCACAATAAAAGTTTATTATAATATAATAATGTTGATCGAATATTAATTCCATTATTATTATCACTTATAGTATTAAAAAAAGATGAATTTAAATATAATTAATTGAAATTTATAAATTAAAGTTTTAAATACTATAATTAGATTATTGGTGGTTTGATATTAATTAAAATATGTATTGCTCCATATGTGGCAGTTGATTTATCAGTAATATATAAATTGAACCTACATCCTAAAATGTCAAATATAAATTTATACTTTAGAAGAGGGAAGATAACATTCAGCTGCCAAACCAATTGGAAAGCCTTGTTTTCAACAACAACAACAACAGCCAAGAAGAAGCACACCACATATACTTTAATCAGTGTTGAAAAGTTGAAGGAAATTATTCATGTACAAAATGATGTAATGTTGAAAATTGTAAGGAAAATTCACCTGAAAATGTGGGCAGGGGCAGCAAAAGTTTCATGACTATGATGTATGATATTCATACATTAATTATGCAGCGCTCTCTATCCATTCACACTTCCATCTTCAGCAGTACATTAAATGACTTGGTCAACTATTAATTCAATGTTCATAATTATGAGTGAATTTTAAAATATTTTAAATTTAATTGCATTTCTTTCATTTTAGTTTTGGTAAATTTTATCTTTTAATTATATAATTTAAACTTTAAAATTTTATGAGTGAATTGTGTGTTGTAGATCTTTAAACACTGTGAGTACTTATTTTTAAACACTATTGCATGTAATCACTTTAAATTATTAAAAAATGTTATTAAGTATTAAAACTTTGAGTTTAATGTTACAAATTAATTAAATGTTTCCAAATCTTATTTTATATTTTTTTGAATTAATCACTGATATTCGATATATTGATTGACTAATTCAGATTATATACTGTAGAGATGAGAGCGATCCTCCTAACCCAATTTGCTCCATTCGCAAACCTTATGATTCAAACTCATGACCTCATTTAAGGGATCTAGTACCTCATCCCACTAGACTAATTGATTGTGATTTTTATACATTTGTTTAAATTTTCATTTATTTATTAACATATTTAATTCGAAATATAAGGCTACTCCCAAATTGTAAGTGTTAAAAGAGAAGTTTATATTAAGTATTAAAACTTTGAGTTTAATGTCCCGAATTAATTAAAAAATAGTTTAATTGAAAATTTAAATTAAAATTAAAATAACAATTATGTTTTTATAATTATATATATATATATAATAATAATTAAAATTAATTAATTGAATTAAATAATAAATCTTAAATTAATTTTTTTCTCGAATCTTTGGACATCAATTTAGTCATCTATCATCGTTGATGAACTTAGGGATGTCATTAACCTTCTCCATCTCAATATGTTATTTTCCCAATTTTTCCCTTTTTTCGCTTTGCATTTTTATTTTGTTTGATTCATTGCTTTTTCTTTTCTTTTCTCACGTTCACTTACCTGCATGTTGATCCGATCTATTTGTGACAAATGATGTGTTTTTCTAAATATATGATTTGTTTTGTAAATCCAAGATCATATTCGTTTAATAAATCTTCTCATTTTTCTTAAAAAATAATAATTTTTATCTTATTTTATACAATATTTTGTAATATTTCGCCTCTTAATTTTACATTTTTTCTCTTTCAGGGTTGATTTTGTCTTCAATCATTGAATTTATGGGTGTTCAAATCTTTTTCAGTGTATATTTATGTATATTTCATTGGATCTTGTGGGATGATAATAAGATGACTCCTTAGGAATTAAGAAGTTATTCTCATATTATTGTTAATAATAATAATAATCGCTCCATTAATATTGATGTTTTACAATGACTTAAGTTTGGGCATACTAGATTTTTCAAGAGTAATAACATTTTTTTAATTTTTTTATTATTACACAATTATATTTTTATTATAAATAAAGTTATATATATATATATATATAATTAAGATTGAATACTAAACTAATATGCAAGTTTATATATTGAATTACTTTTTTACAAACATATATTTATTTATTGAATTTCTTTGATCCAGTTTCTGGTGCTGCTGCTGTCCGAGCCATTATGCGTGACTATAATGGCCAAGTCTTGGGTGGTCTCACCCAACATTCTGCTGGGTGCTTTGATCCAATCTTGGGGGAGATTCATGCGTTGAATGCTGGCCTTCATCTGTTTAGAGATAAGCCGTGGAGTCGTGTGATTTTTGAGTCCAATTCCTTGCTAATTATCAACAGGCTTTCTAGAATGGAGGACGACTTGTCAACGCTTGCCTTTCATCTTCACGAGGCTCCGGATTTTTTTTAGTCTAAATAGAGGGTTTTGGATTTATTTTGTTATTGTAATAAGGTGGACCACACTTTTGCTACATGGGCCTTTAGGTACGAAAGTTCTCTTTTCTTTAACTCGGTTTATCCTAAAATTATATTTAATGTTGTGTTGAACGATTTTCATCTGATTTAATATATATTTTTGGGTGTTCTTTTCCCATTTTTTAGATTTAGAAAGAGTTATTGATGAGGCCAGTAGAATTTATAAAAGAAAAAAAAACTATTTTTTAGCATAATTATTTTTTATGAAACATTTAATTTTATGCCTTTCAGTTGATGGAAATATAGGTTCGTGTTGTGGTGGCTGTCAAGTCTAATATTTAATCAGAATTCAAAGTCCAAAAATGGTTTCAAACGAAATCTTTGAATATATAAAACAAATCTTTAGTTAACATCAACCTGAAATTTCATGGATATTTTGTTTATTATTACAACTTGATGTTTGCAATTGGATTGTTTTTTTTAATCCACTTGCATATAATATTACTATAATATATAATTATAATTTAATATCCTTTTTGACTTGAATTATATTCGTAATCATTCATTACTGAAAGTCTTTTTGATATGATTATCCCGACAGACTGTAAATATTGATAACAACGTGGGGATAGAAGATAGAAGTTAATTAATTAAAGTGAAGTTAAATCACCAATTATATAAGTTTTTAAGTTAATTTTAACTCTAAAATCATTTATTTCAAGAATTGAATCTTTAAAGTAATTCTTTCGGTTTTTTCTTTTAAAATATCGTTTCAGGAGGTGATCCAAGTGTCCTGGTCTCACTAGTTATTTTTTTTAAAATTTCTTTGAATTTAAATCTAAATAAACAACTTCCCGTTTTAATTTTTTTTACATATTCTTGAAACGTTAGTTCTTGAAATAATTATAAATTAATATTTATTCAGAATCTTTCTTAGTTTTTGATAATATGAAGACACATTGCATACATAGTTATTCTAATTTGAGATATTTAGGGAGGACATCACTCCCTTAAATCACTTAATTTATTTTTGACAAAAAATCTTCATTTACCAAAACCAGAGATGGAAGTAAAATCTATTTTATTCTCCATTTTCTTCACACTTTTGTCGAAACGGTTTTCCAAAAAGAAAGGTGGGTCTCGTTTTGAATAATTTTGTGATTGGTTAATAATAAAACGTGGTTAGAGGAGTCGCCACCAATATTTGATTAAGGTGTAATTAGACATCCAAAAATGCATTTGTCATCTTAATAAATTATTAATTTTAATTAAAACAACAAATTTACGGTATGTGCTGCCAAAATTCGAGTTCGGGAGTCGGTTATGAGTGGGGAATGATTAACATTCCACAATGCCCTAAATCAATACCTAGTCTATTAATTAATTGTCTTTGCAATGAAACTGAAAAATTTGAGTATAATTTAATTCTGGATCCCATGCAAAAAATATTCTTTGAATTTTAGGACGAAGCACAATAATATTTAATTATTTCCAATCGAGAAGAATCGACCTCTCATGTCTTAAAGCAATCTATTCTTACTCCAATTGAAATAAAGGAATATTACAATTCCATCCCCAAATGCAATATTAATTCCAAGTTTAATGCACAAATAAAAATAAATTTAAGATGACAATAAAACACTCTTTGAATTTTAGAAGGGAAAAAGGAAATATTTAATTATCTTGTATTGAGAAGAAATGACCTCTCATGCCTTAAAACATTCATTCTTTATTCCAATCAAAATAAAGAAATATTACTATTCCTTCTAAAATTAAATATTAATCCGAGAGAAAACGACAATATCTAATTATTCTTAATCGAGAATAAATGTCCTCTCATGCCTTGAAACAGTCATTTATTACTCCAACCAAAATGAAAAGATATTACTATTCTAAATATGGATTCGAGTGTTACTATTTTTAATACCCATTGGAAAATACATGCAAAAACAAAACAAATAAAAATAATACATCAAGCAAGTATAATTAATTATTTTTTACCAATATTAAATAAGAATAAGAATGTTCAATTATTTAAACACATCTATACGAGACCTTAGATTCGATCTAACAGTCTTTTCTCGGTGAATTTAATTAAAAGAACATGATCTTTTTCTTGATCCCCAAATTTTAAAATGGAATTGATTTAATTCGTGTCACTTAACGAGATAGAATTTCATTTTAAAATGATCAAAAGTAATTTTCTTATACGTTAAGGCAGTCACTCTACGACAATATCAAAATGAACGAATATTACCCTTAGTCCAATTACTTTGATTCGAGTCAAGAAATGCTTGTGAGGTATCATGCAAAACTAATCAATGACTAAAATGAAATAACATTCAAGCAACATGGAAAAATAAAAATAAAATAAAATGAAAATAGTACTAAAATATAAACAATCAAAACATCATGTCAAAAATTAAAGCAAAATAAAATGCAAAAGTGACTAAAATGAACATTTTTAATATAAAGTGCTAAATTACAAAGAATAAAAAATAAATAAAACATGGGGACTAAATTAAAATATAATAAAATTGTATGGCCAAAATAAATTAAATAAAAACAGATTATAGTTCAAAATATAAACATGCAGAAACAACATGGACTATTTCCTAATTATTCCTTTTTTTCTAGCCTAAAACATGCATATGAATAAAAAAAGGGGTAAATCAATAAATTAGTCCATAAGTATTTAAAAAAATTAAATCACCACTACACATGACTAAACTGTAAAAGCACGCTAAACACGAAGGGATTAAAATGCAAATAACCTTAAAAATAATAACAAGCACAAAATGGGTAAATAGCATATTCTGTCCCTACATGTGACCATTTTGTAAAAATACGCACAAGTTAGGAGGAATAAACAACAATTATACCAAAAATTATAAAGAATACATGAAAGTGGGTAAATAGCATAATTGGTCCCTATATGTGATTAATTTGTAAAAACACACGCAAGTTAGGGGGACCTGAATGCAAATTCTCCTAAAGTTTTCTATAAATACAATTTTCCTTTTTTAGTCCTTTTATTTTTCTGATTTCTAGAGAGAGAAGCTCTCACTTCTCCCTAAAATTCAGCCCTTCGCCGACAGTTTAGCCCTTGTCGGCCGTCGTCCTGACCGTCACACCACTATCGTCGTTGGTGGTTGTTGGCCACCAAATTCCACCAGGAGACCCGCCTCGACCTCATCGTCTCATATCTGGGCTTGGTTTTGTGAAAAACAGTCACCAATAGTGTGAAATAAAATTGAAACCCTTTTGCTCCAACCGCCCCAATCTTCGCCGTCCGCCGTTGGATCGGGCTGATCCCTAGGTATCTTGTTCTCCTCCCTCGTGCACTCCTCTTCACATTTCGAATATGGAAATGGAGGCTCCGAACACTGGCGAAGTCTCCGACTGAAGGTAACCTCTTTTCTTCTCATTTTTTTACTATATTATTGTTAAAAATAATGATGTGTTTCAAATGAAAATAAAAGAACCGAAAAAATTTGCTCTGAAATATTCCTTTTTTTATATTATCATTTTCGAAATGGGGGGTCTCCCCCATTACATTCTTGTTGTTGGATTTTATAATCCATTACATATATGAAATAACATAAAAATCATTGATTTGATCTTTGCTTGTGCTTGGGATATGCTGGCTGAGCTAGAACCCGGTGATAGGGGGTTGGTGCGGTGACAGTAACCATGCATGGGGCTGGTGGCTGGTGGCAACGTGGAGTGTTGGCATTGGACAGCAGGAACGACGACAGGGGATCGGTGCGAGTGGCGACGATTGCATATGATTGAAACCCTAGGGTTTCAAACCCTAATTTTCTTGGGCCTGCTGTTGGGTTCATCATTTGGGACAGGTTGTAGTGGGTTTGTTGATGTTGGGCTCGGGTCTGATTTTAACTTTGGGGGCATTTTTAATTTTTGTTGCCCGATTGGGCCCTTTGTAATGGACCGCATAAATAAATAATAAAATTATTATAAATATATGAAAATAAAAATAATAGTAGAAATAATAATAATAATTACATAATTAATGAAATCGACAAGATCTCCGGGCAAAAACGAGTGTTGGCAACTTCCATTTGTTTCTGCAATGCTAAGAAAAACGCCATTGATGAATGCTTGGATTAGAGAGAAAATCTATAAATTGAAGTAAAATCCTAGTGTATGATTATTCTAAAGGAAGTCCTAGAAAGCTTATGACCCAAGTTTCAATTTTCCATGCTTAAATTGTGATCTCACTTCATCTAGTAAGGTAATAGTGATATAAAAACTCTAAGCCACCAATTTGGGACATGCGTGAGTTTGTCTTAGATATTGATAATGGATCTATGAATTTTGTAGTTGGATTGTGTTTTTATGTTGGTAAATCTCAAGAATAGGCTGTGACTTCAAAGGAAAGAGGAAAAAAATAAGTTAATCGAGTAATTCAAAAATCTAAGGTGTATTATAAATTTGAATTAGGTAAGTATATTCGTAGTTGAGTCTGCATATGAATTTGCTTTGTCATGACATTGGTTGTGTATGATTTTGTCTTAAAGTATGCTAAGATATAATTTCATGTATGTGTCTATTTTTCAGTTAGAATATTTGTTTTTTGAAAGATCAGTTAACATACTATTGAATGAGGTATGTATGTATAATGCATATTCATAATATCTATATTTTTGAAATTTTCATATTGCTTTGGTTGGAATATGGTGTGAATTGACAAATCCAAATTTGAGATATATGTGAAAAATGATTAATCACACTTGTTAATGTTCAAAATTAAAGCATTTTAATGCAGTGTAATTTTATTTTAAATAGCACTTTAATGTTGTTCAATGAATGACGATTTTATTCTCACAACTTAGGTTGTAAACAGTTAGCAAGTCTTCTCATTTGAGATGTCCCAAACAAACATTTGCTTTGAAATACTATCCTTCCACGGAGTGTTTTCATGACTTTTATAAGTTCTAATTTTGATTTTTGAGAGGTGTAGTAATATTAAAGTCCACTTCATCTTTCGAGTGTACAAAATTTGAAGAGTCATGCTAACTTCGGGGGACCATTCGTCCATTGTAACGATCATACACATCGAGGCGAATTCACTTCTAAGGCAATGGTTAATACCACGACATAATTATAATTCTAATTAGTTATTTTATTTTTTATTTTTAGTCAGTGCTTACACCTCATTTTACAATAGTTTATTTTCCAACAATTTAAAAGCAAATTCGAGTCTTGCTGTTTAACTTTCCCAAGCACAAAAACAAATCTTTCTATCCCAATTAAACAATATAATATCGTTCTTAAAAGGCTTAAGTATACAAAAGCTGCCCAACCTATGCCCGTTTTCCAGTTTATTGCCTAACGTTTATTTCGTTATTCTTTACTCATTTAGATGCCCAGACCATCAACGGTGTTAATTTTCCCGTTAAGTGGCACGTGTCACAACATGATAATTTTAATTTTTTATTTAAAATCAAAAATTAATATATATATATATATATATATATATATATATAAAAGAAAGCACAAATTTTGAAATAAACACAAAACTTTGAAAACCTTCATTTAACCCCTAAACCCACGCCGACTGTTACCTTTTGTCATCGACGAAGCTCCACCCGACCTCCCCTCCCCTCGGTGACCGAAACCCCTATAAAATTATGACTGATCGATGGTCGATCGATGATGAGTCAACGTTTTATACCCCCGTGAACCCTAGAATGAAAATCGTGATCCCATGCGATTTCGGCCGTCGAACAATCATCAATTGGTCACGATTTCATGTGGGTTCTGGTCGTCGATGAGAGAGGAGGTAGGGTGGAGTTTCGTCGATGACAAAAGACGATGTTCGGTGTGGGTTTAGGGGTTGAAATGAGGGTTTTCAAAGTTTTGGGTTTATTTCAAAATTTGTGTTTTCTTTTTAATATATATATATATTATATATAATTTTAAATAAAACTTTTAAAATTACCAGGTTGTGACACGTGTCACTTAACGACTAAACTTAATCATTCATCACGGCTTGACCCATTTTGAGTAACAGAATGAAACGTTAGGCACCAAACTGGAATGAAATAAATATTAGGCTCTAAACTAAAAAAAGGCATAAGTTGGGCACCTTTTTATATATTTAAGCCTTCTTAAATTATATATTATACCCATGCATCTAATGCTTTATCGTTTGTTAGAGCTATATCGAAGGTCAACTTGTGGTGACAAAGACATGAATCTAATACTACCATTTAAGATTTATTTTACCAATTGAAGTTGAGATATTAAGTGGTCTTTAAATATGGCTAAAGTGGAATGATGAGTAGTTTTCGAAAAGGAATTCATTTACTTTGAAACATTTTTTAGTGTTTTCATGAATTTATGAGTTCTAATTTTGATTTTTGAGAGAATAGTACAACTAAAGTTCATTATATCTTTCGGGAGCACGAAATTTGAAGAGCCGTACTAATCTCACTGTGTCATTCGTCCATTGTAGCGATTACACACATCGGAACAAGTTCGCTTTTAAGGCAGTTACTAATACCACGATACAATTATCGTTCTGGTTGATTATTTTATTTTATATTTTTCGGTCAGTTCTAACACCTCATTTTGCAACAGCTTATTTTCCAACAATACTATGTTATATGCAATATGTATTGATAAATCGAAATGTAAACTATGATTGAATTGTTGCCCTGATAAATTTAATTTCTTATTGGATATAATTAGTATGCCATGGTATCTATAACGTTTGTTTCAAAATATGACCATTTATAGTGAGGTGGAGGGATGTATTCTAGTTATAAAAGACTGAGTTTTGGTGAGATGAAAATATACACCGATAATATTTTGACTTTATACCTTAGTGAGAAGAAATAAGATTCGTGAATATACGCAAGGTTATCATAAGTAAATTGTGTTAAAGGGTACTTAAATTACTTTAATTTATAATTTTGATGGTGATATGTTGTGAATTAACAAATTTAAATTTGAGATATACGTGAAAAATGATCAACCATACTATGTTCTATGCTTCAAAACAGGATATATAAAATGTGATGAGAGCTAATTTGAAGTTGGAATTGGTGCATTCTAATTAGTGCGGTCCAATGAAGAAACCTTCCTTAAATGGAAGCAAGTACTTTGTGTTGTTCATTGATGATTTGACAAGAATGTGTTGGGTTTATTTCTTGAAATCTAAGTTGAATGTGTTGACAACTTTCAAAGAATTCAAGAAACTTGTTGAAAATCAAAGTGACTGCAGATGGAAGATTTTAAGAACAGACAATGGTGGAGAGTTCAATAATTTTTGTAAGGAAGTTGGCATCCATCATCAGCTTATTGTTTTTCACACTCCTCAACGAAATGGAGTTGTGAAAGGAGGAATAGAACTATTTTAAACATGTCAAGATGTATTCTCATCGAAAAGAAACTTCCTAATTCGTTTTAGGCAGAAGTTGTTGCTACATCGGTTTATTTGTTGAACAAGCTAGCAACTAAGGCTGTAAATGAGAAGACTCATCTCAAAGCTTGGTCTGGATTTAAGCCATCTATGGAACATTTTAAAGTATTTGGCTTAGTTTGTTTTAGCCATATACCAGCGCACTTGAGGTCCAAATTAGATGAAATTGCCTAGAAAGGAATTTTTATTGGCTATTTCTCTCAATCCAAGGGGTATATGGTCTTCAATCTAGAAACCAAGAAGATTCTTGTAACGAGAGATGTTATTTTTTATGAAGATTCTTACTGGAATTGGGAGAAGAATGATGTACAGAATCATAACACCTAACCTTTGGATGAAGAAACTGTTACAATTGATGATGTTGAAAGTAATAAAATTGAAAATAAATTTTCCATGGAAAATACAACTGATGTTGAGGTTATTAAAATCAAAATCTTAGTTGATGTGTATGAAAGGTGTAATTGTATCTTTTTTGAACCAACCAGTTTCAGTGAAGCTTCAAAAGTACCAGATTGGATTGATGCTATGAATGCAGAAGTTGTTGCAATTGAGAAAAACGATACATGGTTCTTAGCTAGTCGATCTATTGACAAGAATGTTATAGGTGTGAAGTGGGTGTATAGGACCAAGTTCAATCCTGATAGGACTGTGTTCAAGCATAAGCTAAGGTTAGTGGTAAAAGGGTATGCACAGATAAGTGAAGTTGATTATGGTGACCAGGGCCGTGGTAGGGTTTTCGGGGGCCCTGTACAAATTCATATAAAGGGGCCCCTATTTTCTAGATATATTCGATTTCAGGGCAATAATAGTGGCGTTTTCTTGACAAACGCCGTAATAAATCCATCAATAATGGCGTTTTATCAATAAAGCCGCAATAATAGTGGCATGTTTTTGAAAAAATGTCGCAATAGGTCCATCTATAGTGGTGTTTATTGGTAAAATGCCTCTATATATTTTTTTTGGGGCCCCATTTTTTGG